TATCTGTATTTGTAGAGAGAATAGCAGAGCTTGAACAACAGAAGAAAGAGCTGTGTGATAAGAACAGTAAGTACTGCTTTGTTTTTTGCATTTAAAATGTGGAATCACTGTGCTTTTACAGTCCCAAGAACAGGTTTTACACTTGTTCTGTTTTTTTGGTCAAGTCTTTTTTACTGCTCATTTCTGCCCTTTATGTACACTCCTGTCCTCTCATTTAAGGTGGGTGCTGTGTTCTGTTGTTAACTCCTGTTATCTGTATTTGTAGGCAAAATAGCTGAGCTTGAGAAACAAAATGATGAGAACAGTACTGCTGTTTCTTCTGTATGTTTGAAGTATAGCTGACTACGTACAGTCAAGCCTTTATTGTTAAGATGACTTAAGGGACTTTCAAATAATGGACCTTTAACAGCATTGTCTCTTCATGTATTGACTGTATTTTTCTAGCTTTCAGACAGTAAATCAAGCCCATTGTACCAGTAGTTCTACAAATCAATACTGTGCATGTACTGTATAAATGTGTTATAGAATGTACCGTATACTGAGGATTAGTGTTATCCAGTTATGGCTGAATCCTATTGATTTGCATATTTGGTCCAGAGATATTCTATTTGACTGAGGAGGAAATGTAGGTCAGTCGAGAAACAAAACACAGCAAACAGTTCTGATTCTTAAAACGTTTCTTAAAGACATGCCAATATAATCCCAGTGCTATTATAGTGTTGTTCACTGAGAAAATCAACACTTCTTCATTGTGAATTAAAAGTCAGGATGTTGCTGTGTGTCTCCATACTGTGTCTTCCATCAGGTCTCCTCAGGAACAGACACTGTTTCGATACCCCCTCCCTCTCTTTGTCTCCAGCTCACGTGATCTCCCACAAATTTGTCTTTCTGCTGTCACCTTGTTACCCCAAAATAGCCTCTGTGTGCAGAGTGACAACTGTGTGTTTTGGTGGGTTTTTTTTTTTAACTCTTCAAGGAATTAGAGCTCTTCAGTTGAATCCTTTCGAAAAACTCTTTTCTGAATCACTACAGGACTGTCTTTTACTTGTCTGGATACAGTATCTCTTCATCATTCCTTCACTTCCTCTCTGGGTCACTTGTCCGCTTCTCTCACTAAACCAGCATTCCGTCTCTTCACAGCGATCTGTTCCAAGACCAGGCTTTCTAACCACCTCCTGTTCCTTTATAGATGTCGTCGACATAATATCATTCCTAAAGGATTTCACCTGAAATTTAACACTTCTTATTTTGACTCTGATACCACCCAGAGGCTTCTAGATTTAATGCCTGAGAAAACCAGGCATTTTGAAAGGTTTTGTGAATGTCCTAAAAGATATATTTTTATATTTCTTCTTCATCGTGATCTAGGAAGAACCAAAGGTTATTTGTTCATTTGTTTTATAGAGTTTTGTCTGCGTACTGTGTTAAGTAACAGTGTTTTTATCTCTTTTTAGAAATTAATGTGAGACGGGCCATGGAAGGTATATTTTTTGTTGTTATCAACAAGTTTATTTCTACGGTTTTATTGAACAGTTCAGGGATATTCATATTTTTGTGAATGTAATATGAATTTCACTAACACAACAGCAATTCAAGCTCCCCCAGCTTCTCTCCCTGTCTGTGTGTCTCATGGAGAGCAAGCTGAGATATGCGAAAAGACAAATTCTTAATACCAGAAAATTGTACAGTATATAGCCAATAAAGTGATCTTATCTTAGCTTAGCGTGTCTTAATTCAGAGAGTGATGTTAATATTAACAGATATATTTGTAAATCTATATGGAATATTATACGGTACAAAGCATTTGGTATAAAAAAGAAGTACACTTGGAAAATTATTAAATTTAGGTCAGAGTGAAAGTCAATAGTTGAGAAACCAATCATGGCTAGATAAGATTTAGGGTGTGGATTACTGTACTGGACATCCACTCCACAGCATGCTGGTGAAATCTGAAAATGTGATCAGGTCAGAATTCATCCTGGAAAATAGGAAGATACAGATGCAAAAGTGAAGGATGCTAATCCATTTTAGTTTTATTTTATTACAACCAGGTCAGCATATTTTGTGATTTTTTTTTATTTTGTTAGTATTTAAACCCTTGCTTGCTTACTATTTCTAAATACCCCTGCAGTTAAATGTGCTTTAAACCAATAGATTTTTAAACATCATAAATCAATTATTGACAAGTTAATGGGAAAATGGGGTTTATTGTATTTCATTCGATTATATCAATTTGATATAATTTGTTTTTGCTATCAGTCAATAAGTATAAAACATTTTTTACACAATGATCAGATTGAAATGCCAGTACATTACATACATAAATTAAATGGATTTATTGAATGGGATTAGATTTTAGTTTCTAAAATAAACGTTCTGTAAAGTAAAATCTTCTCACTTTGTCCTACATTCTAAATTCTCTCCCTGTTCTTCCTTACCCACAGTGGATGTGTCCCTGGATATAAACACAATCAATTCCTACCTGATGGTGTCAGAAGATGGCACAGAACTGAGGTGGACAGAGCAGCACCAGACTCTCACTGACAATCTTGTGCGGTTTGATGAATACCCCTGTGTACTGGGCAACAGGCTACCAGTAGAGATGAGGTGTGGGTGTTACTGGGAGGTGGAGGTTGGAAACAAGAAGTCCTGGGAGCTGGGAGTGGCCCGAGGCTCAGTGTCCAGGAAGGGGCAACTGAGTTTTAGCCCTGAAACTGGGTTTTGGGTCCTGAGTCTTTGGGATGGGAAGCTGATGGCCCTGACTGACCCAGAGACCCGACTGGACACAAAAGTTCCTACAAGAGTGGGAATCCATGTGGACTATAAGGAGAAGAAGGTCTCCTTCTACAATGCTGTGGATGGCTCCCACATCTACACTTTTGAGGACAAAATAGACAGGAAAATTCAACCATTCTTCTCTCCTGGCAATAATGATACAGATCCCCTTCGTATTACAGAACCTTTAGGGGAATGAACCTACTGCAGGGACAATGGATACATCTTCCCTAAGAATATTGAAATTCGATGCCCTACAAAATTATGCATACTGCTAACAAAATAGGAAGGAATGGAAACAGAATGAGTTATTGCCGTCCCAATTGGATTATGTGTGTGAAATATTTCTATATTTTATTTGATAATCATTATAGCATTGCACGGTGTGCACAAAGTTATATTTGTCACAGATGAATTCCAGAAAACACAGGGCTTAAATGTATTCACACCCCTAATCATTCTTTTAAAGTTCAGCAGAGACAAATCTCCAGTAATATTCTGTTCTATGGCTGGGCAGTGAAAGTCCTGAGAAATATATAGTTTCCTCTGCCCTTAGGGTGTAAAAGGAGGAAACACAGATAAGACATTCGGAACCAATGGTTTCGTCACCATGGTGGAGGCCAGACAGCTCTTTGAAACCTCCCGCCAAATGGTCTCTGACCTCCAGAATTTGGGCCTGCTTCCACAGCGGTCTCCTGCCAGAAGAGGACACATTTGTGTCTTGTGAAACAAGTGTTAGAGGAGACAACTGTAAATCCAAAGACAACAGGTGGAGACCTGCAGCACAGACTGGTGAAGGAGAGAAAGATAGACCAGAGAATAATAATAATAATCATCATCATCATCATCATCATCATCATCATCATCATCATAATTGCTTACACTTATATAGGTCTCTTCTGGACACTCCACTCAAAGCGCTTTATAGATAATGGGGACTCCCCTCCACCACCACTGGCAGCCCCACCTGGATGATGCGACAGAATGTATGTGTGCACCAGAATGTATGTGTGCACCAGAATGTATGTGTGCACAGTGCAATTAAACTTTGCACCAGAGACCTGTGTGGAAACTTGATCTACTTTTACTCTGCAACATTCCAAGACACTTCCCACACTCAGGTCATTCAGTAGAGGGCCCCTCAGTGAGACAGAAACAAAATATAGAAGGTTAGAATTTAGAAGCCTGAATGTAGGAGTTTCCACAAAAAAACCTTACTAACAGAGAGTATCTTAGTTCTTCTAGAGCTAGAACAATTCTGCATGGACTAATGGTCAAAAGTACCACAGCAATCAACACGGGGTATCTTGAAATTGTAATCTAGGCCAAAGGATTATTTACTAAATATTAACTACAGGGGTGTGAATAGAGGTGACACTCGTGTTTTCTGGACATAAATTCTGACAAAACTTTGCAAAGCAGTTAAGGAATGAAAAACATCATATAACAGAATTATTACAGATTAAGAATTACAGATTGGATATGTGTTGCTTTAAAAAAAGAATTATGCTGTTATCTATTTCACTGGGTGGTGCTGAAGGGACAAGTGAGACAATAGTATAATTTCTGTATTTTTTAAAAGGATGCAGTCTTGTTGCTTGAAGTTGGCTTCACGCCCGGAATGTAAATGCGGAACTTGTTAAAGCCCAGAGACATGATCTGAGATATAAGATGCTTATTCTGCATGTTCATTATAAACTTTGTGCTCAGACATTTATACAAGGACATTTGAGCAGTTTGTCATGTTTCACTAGGTATGTTCATTGAGATGCAGTTATATGAGTGGTGCACTAAACAGTTTGCTTCACTAATCTTTACATTAACTTTATGTGATGTATATCCATATACAGACATACTTCTGTATTGCTAACTGTTAGGGGGAGTGTCACTTTAGCTTGTTTGTTCCATAGTATAAAAGACCATCTTTAGTTACTTATTTTCAAATTCGGTGGTTGCAAGACGTTCTCCCATATGCATATGAAATAAAGAGACTTCTACACAGACACCTGGACTATGTCATCTGTATGACACAACAGTGCTAATAAATACAGACAGCATTCCAGATGTACACAATAGCCTTACATGTTGTTAGATGGAAGGTCCATGTTTGTTCCTTTACTTTAGAACACAATGGGGTTAGAAATGTAGGAATGTTCACAGGACTTGTATATTGTGAATTAGAATGGTTACTAGATAACGGTGACTACAGCAAAATCTACTCAGTTTACCTCAGGTGGAGTACTGTTTCTTTACTAACATGCACAACTTCATACATTTATTGAATTACGTACTGTATATCAGATATTTCAGACCTATAAAGTCTCAAATGTCTATTTCATGTCTATATGTCTCAAAAAGGGAGATGTATAACGTCAAAGGTGTGTTGAAGTGTAAATGTATTTTAACTACAGTAAAATCCAATCTAATTGTTTACTAACTTTAGTTTTTAATAAGAAATGTATTTATGTTGGTTATATTTTTTTTAATGTCTTGTATTCATGAATAATCCAGTCCAGACTGGCTGTAGGAACAGGAAAATAGAATATTTCTAAATATTCTAAAGATATAACAGCACAGCACATAGCATAGCAAAAGGTCTACTAAGACATTCTGCTGAATACAACATATACTGTAAATTGCTGTATATTGATTTCTTGAGATTGTTGTGGCCCATATCTGGGACTTGTCCTTTAACAAAGAGCTTTAATATGTATGTTTAACACTTGAACTTGAAATGTGGAGTTTGGACTCATATTGTGAAATAAAATAAATGGCTAAACTCTGTAGGTTGTGTCTACATATTAAAGGGGATACTATTTAGCCCATTTAGTCTTTTTATGGTTGGTAACTGATCTAAGGATTGTACCCTACTGTGTCTTAAAAGAAGACAGGGAGTCATCTTAAAAAATATGGTTGGACAACATGTTCCAGACTCCTATAACATCTGTTCCCAAGCTGCTGTGTGAAGGTGGTGGTGGTCATTCTTGATCTTGTCATCCACAACTAGGTGGCCTGACCTTCTAGTATTCTACTAACACCAATAACAGTGCTCATCTAGTACTGCTGCTCACTTGCAGGAATTACATCCTCATGTCAATACAGCTGATTTGCTTCTATCTGCTGGTACCCCACTGTCTGTACCATCTACGGCTTTCCTCCAGATTCCCCTTCCAGATGCTGTGTGGAGCTCTATCTCCGATTTCCCTTACTGCCCTCAGTCCCTGCCTCTTCATACTCTTCAATACCCCCCTCACCACTCATCCACACCCCCATAGTCCCTCCATCATCTTCACTGGATGGCTATAGGTTTAAGATAAGATAAGATCACTTTATTAGTCCTATACAATTGCATTAGGAATTTGTCTTTTCACGTACCCCAGCTTGCTCTCCATGAGACACACAGACGGGGAGAGAAGCTGGGGGTCAGAGCGCAGGCTCAGCCATTTGTACAGCACCCCTTGAGCAGCTGGGGTGAAGGGGCTTGCTCAGGGGCCCAATGGAGTAAGATTCCTCTGCCAGCCGAGGGATTTGAACCAGATACAGGCACAGACCGTTAGCCACAGTGCCACCACTTCACCCAAGGTTTGCAAGACTTAATTCTGTCAGTTGCAGAAGCTCACTTTGTCATTTTCCTCATATCTGCATATATTGCAGGAATGCTCTGTCTTTTTCCTTTTGTACCCAACGTCTGCCTGTACTTATACTCACTCAGCTCCCCCTCCTATTGTTAATTATCCCTTGCAGACCAGCTGCGAAGTCCAGATTTACCTTGGATCTTGACCCTTTGCAGATCTTACTGGTGTGTGCACTTCAGATAAGCTCATTTAGTTGTACTAATTATCATCAAATTCTATATGATGGGAACTATATTAGAATAGCATACTATTCAAGCCTCTTAGATACAGTATGATCGTCAAAAGGTCCTAACTTCTGATAAGGAATTGATCAGCTTCCAAGGTTTTCCTTGGACACATTTTAGAACAAATGTATGCTTACGGTATTTCTATTTTTGTGTTACCTACTGATTCCTATTGTCAGTGATTTCCCTTACTAAAGAAGAGTAGTTTAGAAGTAAATACAAATGTCTGCTAAATACTACACTGTGTTAATTGTGTCACATTTGTGTACAAGAACTGCATCAGTTATCAAAACACTTCTTTTTCGTCACCCACAGATCATTGTTCAGTCAAAGGCTTTGACTGTCAGTGTTGACAGTAACATCATTCTGACCTGTCACCTCACAACTGAGACGATTGCTGTACCTCTGGAAGTAAAGTCGTTCAAAGGGATTTCTGGTGACCTCATCCACAGAGGCCAAGGAGACAGAAAGCCCAGGCTACAAGGACAGAGTTTTTGTTACTTTCTGTTTAGTGAGACTTGGAAGTTTGCAGATAATAATCATTCCCAGACACTACCTATCCTTAATCTCTGGAACCCTTCCGATCTCAAGTTAAGCGCCTTTGTATAAAAATTTTGGCTCAGAGAAATACAATGTATCAGCTTTATTTCTGATGTAATTGAATAATATTGATGCTACTGTACGTGCTTAGATGATTTCTAGCGTCCAAAGAATGTGTGTTAATAGAAGATTCTTAATTAAAACAGTGTTTTGATGGTTTCCTTGGTGGAATCCTAATTTTAACAAGGTACTTCACTGTATAATGCTAGTTGTAACAGATCATCATTCATCATTTTCATTTTCATAATTTTCGCTCAAACTCTACAACTATCAAATAGGCAATCAAACCTATCAAGCTGTTGGCGAATTCGTCACGGCCAGTCTGTGCACTGTAGCGAATGTGGGGTTCGTGCGGCAATAACCAAGAGACCGTTCTTGTGTAGCACACACACACAACACTCTCTATTTACGGAGCTCCTGTTGCCTATTTTTCAGTGTCAGCCAGCACTCAGGGAAGAGGGTTTTACAACCCATTCGACAAGGGTTAAATACACACAAGGGCAGTAAAATGTATGACATTACATGCACAGAACTGAATGAATTTTTAGGTGAAGTATTTTTGTATGAAACATTTCAGAAAATCGATACCCAATTCTCAAAACCTGCAATAACACAAACTGGCATGCTAGACAACGAGTAAATAAGACAACGGCAAAACGTGATTTCACTGGCATTTTCTGCATATTTTACTACGACCTTGCCTTCTTATCATTAAAAGTCTCAAATTCTTGCATTTTAGAATTTTATTGCATTTTATTTTAATATAGCAGTATTAAATGGGGCATTTAGAACATGGTATATGAGAATATACTGTATGGTTAACTGATTCACTGTAGTTCAGGATTTTGATAGTCTGCTATATTGTTTCTCACACCCCGGGTGTCAGAATTGTGAGACGATTTTATAATCAGGAGGGAGGGCCATAGCAATTAAACAGAAAGTGCAATCACCATTTGCCAATGCATTTTCTCATGCCATGTTCAGAGGGTCATATTAAAAAAAAAACGGTACAGTAAAATTTCCTGAAGTTCAGGATTTTGAAAGTCTGTTACATTGTCCCTCACACCTCAGTGTCAGAATTGTGAGACCATTTTAACATCAGGAGGGAGGGCCATAGTAATAAGCAGAAAGTGCAATCACCTTTTCCCAATGTAAGTTCGTGTTATTGTGAGTTTTTAAAATTGTTCTCCATACACAAATATGGAACAGTCGCTATTCATTTGGATATTCCCTTTCACTGAGGATGTCTACAGTATTCCATCTGGATTAGTACTGACCGAAGATGCCATCTACAGGCGAAAGGCGATATAACATCACAGCAGCAGCATTTAAGGTGGAACGAAAAACGCGAATAAGAGGCCAACTTCCGCCTCGTCACTTTGCTTGCGTTGTAACTGGCTAGACTGAGATAAGAAC